GTTGTCCCATACCTTTATTCACGAACACTGCATTGTCCCGGTTGACTAAATTTATGTTTTCCTGCAATAGTAATACATTTCTAATTTGTTAGAAATACCTGAGTACCTAATTCAGGGAACCGAACGTCTATCAATTCTAAAAAGTAGAGATGATTAACATTGTCAAAAACTGTTTATCTTATTCCTACTTGACTTGAAATGCAGTTATAATCATTAGCAGCCACTGCTTATAGAGGAACTTTGTTAAATAAAAGAATTGTTAGTAAGTACAAAATAAATCCGTAGCATCAAAAAAATCCACAACAACCTGGCGCTGATGGATTCGCCAGAATTGTGTGACACTTGTCGATATAATATTAATAAATGTCTTTATTAATACACATCAGTGAGGCGAAGTTTAGCCAAAGAGCTACTCTTAGACTTAACCTCACTGTGTGAGAAAAAGTAACATAGATAAACTCGATACCCAAACAAAAAGAGAAAAGTAGGTAGACAAAGCGGAAAGATAAAGCGTTTACAATAGTTACATTCGACGGTACGAGCCAACAAAGCTAAGTAATATGAAACAGAAAAAAATATTTAATATATGCATAGTTTATACAGTTCACATCACAGTACCTTTGAACTATCCCATCAGCCATTCCTTAACAAGTCTCCTGAAAGGTACAATACTTTTACTGCGATATTTTATCTATAGAATTATTTAACCTGACTTCATGAAATGTAAAGCTTTTTTGGAAAAGGACCGAGTAGTGGACTGGCATCGCAAAATTTAGGTTTTGTTGGATTTCTCTCTGATTAATTTTATGCTCTTGGTACCAGCTTTTCTAAAATAGACGGTGACTTTCAAAGGCGAACTACGTCATGGACAAATACCTTTATAGCCTAAACAAACTGTGATTCCATCTTCAACCAATTTAAATCTTGAATCTTCGAAGAGACACGACTATATTTACGAAGTCGAAATACAAACTTGCAGCAGCTGTTTTGAATTTCCGGTAACCTATACCGATTTGATGAACCCAAATAAGAATCGAACAAAATTAGAAAATATTGCAAAGATGACATGAACCAGCTTTCACCTAATTTTTTCCTAGTCTAACAGTTTAAAATTTACCTGTAGGAATATAAAATGTTGCAGCTATTAATCTATCGCAATGGATACTCGTAAAAAATACTGTAGGTTCCAGAATTTGTGTAATGGGGCATTGCAGCTGTAACTTGGCATTTCTCTGTAAACTGGTCAACTTATTTGGAAAAACTGTCTTGCCCACTTTTTTGCTTAAATGTTTGAAACATCTTACTTAGGAGATGTATACTTTCAAGCTTAATGACAAACCACAGGGAACCCAAAAATATAGGTCATAATTTAGGAAATATTAAGCATTTTCGAAATTACTGACACAGGGGACTGTCAGTTATGGCAGGGAACTGGGTACTCAAATTAAAAATACCAATATATTAGCAAAATTAAATATTTTATTTTCTCTAAACTTGGCAATTAACAATTATAGTAATTCTTCGGTAAACTACGAAAAAAACAATAATTTTATTATACTCTTGTTACAGGTACAAAACTTTGTAAGCTTAAGGTAACATAATCAATCTTTTACACACAACCATTAGTTTTACGAAGCTTAACTTTTTTCAAAAACATTAATAGGTGGATCAAATGTATAAAATAGTCTATTTTTCCCTTTGAAAGTATGTTTGGATTAGGTGATTTTTCTATCACTTGATCCATTGTAATATCTGCTATATCGTCCGGATCCATTCTAAATGTTTGACCTTTATTATCGTAAAGCTTTAAAAATGTAACTCGAATTTCTCCATCTTCATCGATTTTGTCTATTACGCTTACATATCTACATTGCATATTTTTTGAGACTAATTCGACTAGGATGTAATCTCCATTGATAAGTGCTTTAGCTGCGGAACAGCTGGATCCGGCTTCATCAGGTTCTAAGTCAGTGAATTCTTCAGCAACTGTTAGTTTAACTTTATTTTTAGTTTAATTTTCCGATGTTAAAGTGAAAGCAACGATCTTTGTTACAAAAGCAGGTTAGATGTTTCATCACTATCCCAAATGACTAGGATTTTAAGTCCAAAGAGTTATAGAATTTTCCGACGACGCGTCCTCCGAGTAGTTTTGCTTTTTTTATTCTTCTGTAATTAATCACTTTTGTGTTTTCCATATGCCATAATTTGTATTTTTCCACTAGTTTTCTGAATACTACTTAGGTCAAAAGCGTTTTTTCTTTCAATGTTTCTATGTTTGAGAAGTTTTCTTGTAATTGTTCTTTTAACACCTCACCAAACAATGCTTTCTTGACTAGATCTTTCTTAGTTTCTGGACTATCTGCTAGTTAGTATCTTTACACATTTTTCTTTCCTTTTTCATCAGTCTCGAAACACATTTTCTATGTTCCACTAATTTTCTTTTTAGTAATTTAATCTCATCTTTTTTCTTTTTTATTTGATATCCAAGTTTCTTCTCCCTATTAATTCGTTTGTTGAACATATCAACATCTTGAGGGGTTGTTGGTCGGGATGAGTGCGAATCTGGTGTATTTTCTCGCAGATAAGTGTTACTTATATTTGTCAACGCTTTCTTCTTATTCCGATAAGCAGAACAATGCTCTCTCCATTTCTTTTTAGCCTCCCGGTGATCTCGTGGCGTCATATCTTTAACAAGCTTCCTAGTCCCCTTTTCCCCTTTTCTTTTTCTTTTTGAAGGTATTTCAGGTATCCCTTTTCTCTTAGCTCTTCCCTTCTCCGCGGGTCGTTCTTGAGGCGCTCGTACTTTTTCCATTCAGCATCCCTTTTCTTTTGTAAAATTTCCTCCTTCGTCTATGTTTTCTTCCTTGGTGCCATGTTGTAACAATATCTTGTGCCTATAACAATGCTGCATACACATTAGGACAGTCCTCTGGAAGTAAGAACAATCCCCTGTCCTGTTTAAATGCAGGGACTGTTGCCACGGGACTGTTCAGTTAGATTAGATTGATAAGTAGCACAATACAGTATCCATTTGTTTTATTTTGATGCATACAATTGAAAATTATCTATTTGAATAAAGTACATTATGTGAAATATGACTTAAAAACACAGAAAGGAATTGAAATATTTCTTACCAGAGGACTGTAGGCTTTTAGGTTCTGACGCGGGTAACTCGGAACAACACGTGTGCAGCACTGAAGAAGATGGCCTCAGGGCCGCTCTGGTAGCAACCGCGTCAACTTCACTCTGTTCGCGTTTCGTTGAACGCAATAAAACGATATTTTTGCGTTCTAGGCTTTATGCCACGTCATTTGAAATATACACAGGGGACTGATCGCTATATGGTGTGACCAACTCAAACTAATCTGTTGTTTCTTTTTTTAATAGATAAATGAAAAAATAAGCACTGTTAATAATGCCGACTGTATTATGTTTAAATTAATACTTGAATTAGTCGATTTCTAAACTTATTTGTTTCAATACCTGAATCAAAAGTCATTGCAACGCGTTGGTGACATACCAGAGGACTGTTTTTTGAGCATTACAACAATGTTTTTAGAATAGATCATTATGTTTCGAAAATAGTAATGAAATAAATAATAATCTCTTCTATTTTACATTATTATGGTAGGAAACAACGAGTTGACCACTTTACAGAGAAACACCCAACTACGTCTCTGTGTAGAGCTGGAGAGTAAAGACATATTCCTTAAAGAGAGACATTCTGGAAGGTATGCCAAAACGATTTCCGCCGGGCCCTGTGATCTCCATCAAACAAAGAACATTGTAGTCGGTAGCTGCAAATGCTTAGTGGTTTTATTCGTTCCCTGCTCGGTTCGGGCGACGACCCAGCCAGGCATTGCCAAGCTGCCAAACTTGCATTTTTAAGCCGATACTTTTTTCAATTTTTTTTCTTTTGAAACTGGTGCATAGCTAGTAGCCATGTTTCATTAAAATTTATGATAGCATGGAGTGGTTTCAATAGAGATTACGAGGAGCTCTCGATAATACCGATTTTGTTGAAATGTTACCTAGGAGTAACAACAAACTAGACGAACCGTTAAAAAATCCAGGGCCGAACTCAATTTTGTGAACTATTTCGTTTTTTAACAAAATCAACTGTAAGAAAAACAAGAGTATCGCACTATTCGAATATATTCTCCATATACAACCGCTCGATACCACGTCTAGTTCTTAACTGACTTTGACATTCCACAACCGTTGTCAGGTATATACAATATGATACATTACTATGAAAACATCAGTACAGTAATAATAATAACACTCGGCTATCCTGACCATTAGGCTGTCCTCAGACTAATTAAACGTTAGAAAAGCTTCAATTCTCAAAGCTTCAAAACCTAGACTTATAATAACGTAGGAAATATAAAAAAAAAATTACTTCACAAGATCTTACATAATGCATATCTCAAAATAACAATAAAGAGAAAGGTAAAATAAAATTGCAGTCCAATCAAATGTAGTGCAGGTAAGGAAAGATTTGCGCAAATGTTTTCCACATGATGACGTTCATCTACAAGCAACGTTTGCCAGGCTGTTCGTAAGTAAGCGACGTTCGCTAATAGGCAACGTTTGCCGAAAATAACGTGGAAGCGACGTTCGCTTGAAGGCAACGTTTGCCGAAAATAACGTGGAAGCGACGTTCGCTTGAAGGCAACGTTTGCCAAAAATAACGTGGAAGCGACGTTCGCTTGAAGGCAACGTTTGCCGAAAATAACGTGGAAGCGACGTTCGCTTGAAGGCAACGTTTGCCAAAAATAACGTGGTAGCGACGTTCGCTTGAAGGCAACGTTTGCCAAAAATAACGTGGTAGCGACGTTCGCTTGAAGGCAACGTTTGCCAAAAATAACGTGGAAGCGACGTTCGCTTAAAGGCAACGTTTGCCAAAAATAACGTGGTAGCGACGTTCGCTTGAAGGCAACGTTTGCCAAAAATAACTTCTTGAAAATACGATGTTCGCATGTGGGCAACTTTTGCCTCTAATTATCGTTTATTAGGGTCACCCATGCCTTGACCTGGTCTGCAGCTACAACAGTTCGCTTCCGTTTGAAGCCTTCTCGTAAGTCTTCAACTTCGTATCGATCGTTGGATAATTTTTTCGTAACTCGAAAAGGTCCCTTATATTTTGCATGTAGCTTATGGCTAGTTCGCGTAGATGGTATACTCGTTATCAATACCCTGACCAAGTCACCCTCGTTATACTGGGTGGCATTGCGTCGACTTTTATCGTAACGTTCTTTTTGTTTTTTTTGATCATCCTCAATATGTCCTGAAATCTTATGCCTAACCTCCTCTAGGTCAAGTCTATCTATCTCATTTTGAATTGCACTCAAAACTGTCGCCTCAGCTGCATGTTTAGAATTGTAACCAATCAGGGCCACCATAGGAGTCGAATTGATGCCTTTGTTAAAACTCGTATTCAATGCACTTTGTATTTGTTTTACGTATCTATCCCAATCTCGCTCATCTTTTCCTGCAGCAGTTGTTGATAGAGCACTTACGATTGTTTTGTTGTAACGTTCACATTGACCGTTAGCCCTTGGCGTGGCGACTGCATTTAGGACATGCCTTATTCCATATGTGTCACAAAACATTTTAAAGGTTCGAGATGTGAAGGCCGTACCTCTATCACTTATAATTCTTGAAGGTACCCCAAATAAATGGATTACGTCAGTTAAAGCCTTGATCACGTGCTTACTTTTCTGATCATGTACCGGCTCTATTATTGTGAATTTGGTAAATGCGTCAACAATTACAAAAATATACTTATTTTTTCTTTTGCTTGTCACAAATGGTCCAACATGATCTACGTGTATCGTATGAAAGGGGATTGGATGTTTTTCTATAGGATTTAATTTGCACTGCCGTTTTGAGGAGCACTTCTTATAGTACATACAGTTTAGGCAAGCGTTAACATATTTTGTTACGAATTTTCTCATTTTCGCGAACCAGTAGTTTCTTCTTATTCGCTGTAAAACCTTTTCTACTCCAAGGTGTCCAGAATCGTCGTGACATAAACGACAAATTTGCATACGTGCTGCTAATGGAACAACCCATGCTTTAGTTCCATCGTCTAATTTCCTGTACAATTTGTCGTTTTTCAATTCGTATTTATCGAAATATAACTTCGTCTCATTATTCCTTACTTTACTCGATAGTATGTTCCGAATTCTACAAATCTGTTCATCATGCAATTGTGCTGCAGTAATCCAATCCGCTTCCGTCAAATCTATTTGGAACACTTCTAACTCAAGGTTGGTGATTGCTATAGGGTTTCTACTGAGGGCGTCTACATGAGTCATTTTTTTACCAGCTCTATACTCGAATTTCGAAAGAGTATTCCTGAATCTCCAACCACCATCTTCCAATACGAGGAATTAAATCTTTTTTTGACAGGGTCGTCCGTAAAGCATTACAATCGGTGACTATCTTGAAATTTATCCCCAGCAAATACACTCGAAAATATTTTAGAGCGTAAACTACAGCCATAGTCTCGAGTTCGTATGAGTGATATTGTCGTTGATCACATGTTGTTTGTTTGCTTTCTCCTGGTGCTGCGTCGTAGTTAGCGGCATCTTTGAATAATTTAGAAAATGGGACGGACTTACGAAAGTGGTGGCTCATTGATCTTTTAATTTCATCCCAACTGGAGTCGTAGTCCACATTTTCTTCGTACCACTGACGGGCATTGCCTCGCAGTCTTCCAGAAATCAGTCGTAGAATGGCATCGTCATCCCAGTGATAGCGCTCTGCCAAACGGTCAACTTTATCCAGCCACTTATCCACCATCACGTCGTCCCGATTAGGATCAAACGTCGGCACTAAGAGTTCATCTCCCGTACGAATGATTGCCGGGTACCGTCTCAATTCGTTTAATTCTTTTCTCAATCTCTTTATAGTTTTTCTTGAAGACGATCTATGGGAAGAGGCCGAACTCGAACTGTCACTTTCACTCGAGGATTCCTTTCGGCTCCGCTTCCCACTTCTATTCCGCGATTTGAATTTAGTTTTCCCCATGATGTAGGTAAATTCAACTGATTTTAAGGTATCCCACCGCTGCTTTGTAAGAAAAACAAGAGTATCGCACTATTCGAATATATTCTCCATATACAACCGCTCGATACCACGTCTAGTTCTTAACTGACTTTGACATTCCACAACCGTTGTCAGGTATATACAATATGATACATTACTATGAAAACATCAGTACAGTAATAATAATAACACAACCAATGGTGCTAATTAATTAATAAAATAGATTGATGGCCCCTTTTTTGTTTTTTTGTTAGATATATTTATTCATCCAAAAGAGCGAGAGCAAAAGATTACATAAATAAAAGGAAAAATAATGTTCTGCATGCACACCTTATTTAGTTCTTTTAGCAATTCTTTAATGATTTAATTCTACCAAGTAATGTTATACAACAACGTGAGTCCTGCTTTGAAGGGATACGGCATTTAGTACACAAATATACTAGAATTTGACTCTGCAGATCATTTCAACATTATGATGAAATCTAATATACAGCATTTTCAGCATATTTACGTGAAATCCATACCTGCAAGATACGTTTATGTGGATTTTTAACTCAATTTCAAGTTGGCCTGGAAGGTCAGATTTAGTGTAATTGCATATTAAATGCATTTTCCCTTTTTAATAAGAAGTCATGTTGTACAATATCAGTTGGTAGATTAGAAAGTAAATAGGGGGTATAACATTATTTATATCATGTTTTGCTCTTTTTTCTTCAGTCTTCAAAGCTGAATCTGACCCCGACATTTTAAGTTCCCAAAACATCCTTACTTCAATTTTAAGCATTATTGTGTAAAATTTTTATGTAACCAAGTTGATAACGTTTCAAATTTTGAGTTTTGTGTTTCATAAACTGCTGAAAGTGAGATATTTGAATAAGTAAAATTAAAAAACTAAAAGAGGTTCAATCAATCTGTTCGGCTAATTAAAAAGCACCACACCTTGACTTTTTTGTACATGGACAAACATTTGTATATTCAACTTAAAACGATGATTTTGATAAAACACAGTAAAGTGAAAAGAATTGAGGCCGGTTCCGGATTTTTCAACCGTTCGTCTAGTTTTACGTTAGTTCACTTTGTTAACGCGCAAAATTGAAACAAAATCGGTTCAATAGTGTCTGAGATATGTGACATTAAAGATTTTGGGGCGTTTATATTATATTCAGTAAAACTGAACTGTTTTATTTTCGGATGTGTGCATAGTATTTTTTTGGTTATTCTAAAGTATTTGCTGGTGATTCTCGTCATTCATGAAAAATATGCTTCAGAATGTCTCTTCCCTGAAATACAGATTGTTTTTCACCACTCACAAATTGTATATTCTGAGAGTTTGTGTTTTGGCTGTGTGCAGCATTTGCAAGGTGATTTTTTACATTTTTACATCTTGTACTTTGTCCAGTGCTTTATAACTGAAGTGTTTTGAAAACACGTGGTCCAGTGACAGCTCAAATGAGACATGATATGGATATACATCGCCTTTTATATTCTAAAACATTTCACAATAAAAATACCTACATAAAGTTTAACGCGTTTCGTCTTTCATTATAAAAGCATCGTTTAGACTGTGAGATTCGCATTTAAGACATTTTGCTTAGATTATACAGTGCTTTTCACCAAGCCTCCCGACTTATTTTTTTAACAAGTCAAGGTTGAAATTCGGGATAATGAAATGAAATATAGTATATATATATAAAGAGAAAATGATCATGCGGAGAAAGGTATATAACAAAAAATAGGAACATAATGGGCAAAATCCGCAAAAAGAAGGAAAGTTGATACGAGCAAAAAAGAGGATAGGTAACCCGAGCGATACGTACTTCTGCTGGTTGGCTTCATCAGGCCCGAAATGAATACACATATGCAACTACAAAAGTAGATACACATGTCCATACATCCGGATATGGGTTTACCTGAGGAAACGAAGGTGGAGAGGGAAAAAAATCACACACGACTTTTCCTTCTTTTTGCTGATTTTGCCCATTATTTTCCTATTTTTTGTTATATACCTCTCTCCGCATGATAATTTTGTCTTTGTAGATCCTTTGAGCTTGAAGTTGAATTATATTAATACAATAACTTTCCTATAAGTATCCTAGTCATATGTTTAAATTTGCATAGTTTTATTATCAAATAACATATAGGTTTTTAATATCCACAAACTTATGGATATTTGGTTGATTTAGGATCCATAACTTTAATTCACGTCTGCTGGTTGTGGCTGATTGAATGTAACAATTTTGGATTTTTTGTTAAATATATTATTGTATGATAAAAATTGACAGCTATTTTTCCGGGGATAGTCGTAAATCCTGGCACATTTTTTGACTGAATGAACATCTTTTTGTTCAACATAACCCTCAAAATCCACTTCTGCGTAATTTCAATCTTGTTATAATAATTATTCATGACTAAGATTCCATAAGATAGCAATGTTTGAACAAGGGCATGATATATCATGTGTCGATATTTTTCGCTTAAAAAACTGCTGAAATATTTGATTTTCGGAATAAGGTATCGTAATTTAACGTACTTATTAAATTTTCAACATGAATGTTCCATCTTAGATGGTTATCTATGAATACTCCTATCTATTTGAAATGATCAACCCATTGTATGTTTTTGCAGCTATTCAACGTTTTAATTTGGAGTTGATTCAAATTTGAGGGAGATCTGTTGTTGCAAGAAAGTGTAATAAAGTATGTTTTGTTGAAATTGGCTGTTAAAATCCTTTCCGTGAAAATTTTTTTCACCTTTTGAAAATCTAATACAATGGCTAAATATATTATGCGGAACATGTAGGCCTTGGCAAGCATTAACAATGCTTCAAAAGGCCTAAAATATGGCCAAAACTAGAAAGATTCACTAAATTTTTCAAAAAATTTCTCCGTTTTCCAGGTAGTTGATAACGAATATGATATCCATCTTTCAAAGATCAAAATGGCTGATTCAGTATGGTGTACATCTTTGCAAATAAATGTTTTGATTGAGCTTAAATTTAAGTTTTAGATGTTTTCAGGTTCTCTAATGACGGATTGTTCAAAAATCGAATAAGTGGCTCTAATTGGCGGCAAAAATGTGTTGATTGCGCTCAAAATTACGTTTCAAGTGTTTTTTAGATGGCTAATAACGAATTAAATATCGATTCTGAAAAATCTAAATGGGGATCTAGTGTGATGGCCCTGTCTGCAAAAAATGTATCGATTGTGCTCGAATTACGGTTTTGTATGTTTTCAAGGTACAGGTATATTTTATGTATTATTGTACAGGGTGCGGCAGAGAGGACGCACGTTTTTGGCATGGGTAGTACTCTCCGCCTCCGTCTACGAGAGAGGTGGGGAGGGTGCCGTTTGACTCGTGAGATCCTAGCATTATTTTACCAGTTGTCGTTATGGAGCCTTTGACGGTGGAGCACCGCGTTTTCGCCTGTTTCGTCCGAAATAATGAGTCAGTCATCGTCGTACAGCGTGAGTTTCGCCGCTACTTCACCATTCATCGGAATAGAGCTGTTCCCTCTCGAAACACCATCCTTCGTTGGGTTGAATCACTTCGCAGGCGTGGTGAACTGATCAACAGAAGACCAAGAGGAGCGCCGCGAGCAGTTCGAACTCCTGAAAATTTGAACGCGTTCGACAGGTCTTTCTTCGCAGTCCGACTCGATCTGCCCGGAAACATGCTGCTGCACTTCGCCTTAGTGATCGTTCGATAAGGCGAATTTTGCATATGGATCTCCGCATTCACCACTACAAATTGGTCATTGTGCAACAGTTACAGCCCGGAGATTATGCACAACGAATGAACTTCGCACGTGAGATGGAAGCACTGATCGGTCAAAATGAGAACCTGATTTTATTATGAGTGACGAAGCCCACTTTCACCTAAACAGCAGGGTTAACCAGCAGAATTGTCGTTATTGGGCTAATGAAAATCCGCAACAGTTACACGAAAGACCGCTGCACAGCCCAAAAGTAACGGTTTGGTTCGCTGTATCGCAAACTTGCATCATTGGCCCTTACTTCTTCGAAGACGGTAATGGTCGTGATGTTACCGTGAACTCAGAGCGCTACGTCGACATGATCACCAACTCCTTTCTCCCTGAATTACGACGGCGACGTTATTCGCCCTCGCTTCCCTGGTCGCCTTATTTCCAGGTTTGGCGATGTTCATTGGCCTCCTCGGTCCCCAGATTTATCCATATGTGATTTTTTCTTATGGGGACACCTCAAGGCTAGAGTATACGCGAACAAGCTCTGAACTCTGGACGAATTGA